GCTCTCACGCTGTGCCTCCCCTGCGTGTGCGTGACGGCTGCGGCTGCCACAGGCCACGGGGCACCCGGGCAGGAGGCGGAGTCCGAGAAACATGTGTTGGCGCCCGCCGTGGGGCAGAGAAGCCACGCCGGTGTTTCTGCCTCGAGAGCAGCGGAAGCGGCGGGAGGCGCTGGTCCGGAGGCGATTGAGGCTGATGTGAAGGCATTGGAGAGGGCGGCAGCGCAAGCTGAGAAGGACATTGAAGAAGCTACTGCTGCGTTGAAGGAAGCTGATGAATATGAGAAGAGCGCTATGTCGGAGTTGAGTGTGGCTGATGCAGAAGTGCAGAAAGCTTTGGAGAAGGTGAGCTCAGCGAAGAGTTTATTGAAAAGTGCCACCACATCCAAAAAAGAGGCTGATGCTGTAGTGATTAAAGCGAATGAAATAAGTAGTGCGGCTGAAAGAGGTGAGCAGGCACTGTGGAGAACGGTAATAGGAAAACTGGAACGATTTGATGAATCCCAGAGGGAGGCAGCGAAGAAACTGACAGATGCTGGAGGCACGGATCCGGATGCCCAAAAACGAAAGGACGAGGCTGTCAAGCAAAGAACTGCTGCTAAGGAAGCGCTGACAAATGCTGAAAATTTGACCACATACACTCAAACTGTTCTGCAGAAGGCTCAAGAGAAGCAGAGTGATGCTCAGATCGCGCTGTCAAAAGCTGAGAAGCAGGATAAAGAGGCTGAAACTGCGCTGCAGGAGGCTCGAGAGAAGAAGAGCCGTGCTGAAGATGCAGTAAAGAAAGCTGAAGAAAAGAGGAAAAATGCAGAGGTTCAACTCAAGGAGGCTGAACAGCGGACAGCTGAGAAGTTGGCACTGCTGGAAACAGCGCGAAATAAAAAAGCTGCAGAGAGTAAATTGCAGAAAGATCTTCATAACACGTTGCAACAACACCAGGAAGAAGAAAAGAAAGGGCCCAGCAGTCTTGAAGAATCACCGATAAACTCCGAGAATTCTCTGGGCGATTCTGAAGAACATGTGTCTCCGTCAGAGAAGGCAACCACCGTGGCGCCGACAGAAGTGAAGACAGGCGTGAGTGTGAAAGCCACGATGATGGGCGGACTGAATGGCGATGGGGG